CACACACACACACACACACACACACACACACACACACACACACACACACACACACACACACACACACACACATACACACACAAACTAACAAACAACAAACACACACACACACAAACACACGTACATACATTTATACATGCACGCACATGCCAAATTTGACAACCATAAAGTAAAAAATTTAGACATTTCGGACACATTTTGGACAAATTTGGACATAAAGTAAAATGTATGTATATAACTGTATAGCCTACACGTATACAGTATGTCACGATCATTTAGAGTACAGGGTCTCCAACCCTCTGAACTCCAAATGCGGAATGAAATTGATGGACAAGGGGGGGCAAAATTAACCTTGGCTGCCGCAGGCAGGTCCACGTGCCGTAGGCATGCCAGTGCTAGGGGGGTCTGGGGCATGCCCCCCCAGAAAATGTTGAAATATTTAAGCCATTTTCCAGCAATCTGAGGCATACTGTGGGCCATATTCTCATGTCTGATGACACTATCTCAACCCTAGACTCAACCCTACAAGTTAGGATTCAAAACACTTTTCATGACTTTTCAGAGAGCGTACACAGTTACTGAGTTAGGTTACTATATAGTAATAATACATGTATTAAAACACAGGTAAGAATTGCAATTTCTCACAATTTCACGTGTTTTTGTATGTTTTCAACCATACATTTTGGCTATTTGTGAGTCTGGAAACATTTTCTTGACCAGTTTATTTGCATGGTCTCATTTCTCATGCATTATGCTGAAATTGAAACAATCACATTTCTTTCTTTTTTTCCTCTTTTTTTTTTAATCTCAGGGGGGGTTTTTTTTCCGGGCCTTCCCCCCCTTCTTTCAGGGGGGGGGGTATGCATCCCCCCATCCCCCGGGATTTACGCCCCTGTCTCGAACCTTATTTAACATACAAATTGCATAATTTGTTATAAACAACTGGATTCCAATCATCTTCACCAATTAATTGCTAATAAATTAAAAACATTAATGTAATGCACATATTTACTATTCCACTATATTAATAAAAATACATATCATAGGAATATAAATACTAGCACAACCACATTTGATGAGTCACATACTTAAACTGACTCACCGAAAGAGTGCGCGCTAGGCCTATGCCTAGTCTTGAATTTCCTCTGCCCACACCGACGATCTTTGGTGGATGTGGTGTAGGTGGTGGGAGCAAAACCCACACCAAATCCACAAAAAATCGTGAGTGTGTGCATTGGTCAGAGGAAGCTCAGACTAGCCTATATGCCCTGATTAGCTGATTCGTAAGACGTTCATATGTTGAATTTTATTCGTTTGGCGAATACATTACGATCACTTCAAGCTCGAAAATCCGTACTGCGGGTGAGCCCTTCGTATTCCGGGGGTCCACTGTACTGTATTGAAAGTGTGTTACATCATGCACTGTGCACACAGTATACGTCACTTGTTGACCTCTGGCAAACTTAATTTCTTGCAGAAGAGGCACCTATGACTTTAATATAGAGTAAAATAGTTGGCTAAAAATGGATTAAGTTAGTATTTTTACACAAATATTCAGTTTTCCACCGCCATGCTGCCAGATGTGATTTTTAGGGGGTTTTGATTTGTCATTTGATCTACGCTGTTGAATACAACTTACAAGAAACAATAGCTGAAATCTCTACAGGGTGAAAAACTGATAATTGGAGGCACTGGTCCAGCAGGACCAGTGCCTCTGAGGAAGCACTGGTCCTGGTCAGTAGGCACTGGTCCAGGATTTCTGTCGTAGCAAAGTGAATGACTCGGATGTGGGGACGTTTTTATATGGTGCAATTTGGTGATGTGCATTCTAAGGTATTCTTAATAATAAATGGAATACGATATATAATACTAATAGGGCATTTAAACAACAATAATATATAATATAATAATAATAGTGATGTTCATTGTTAGATGGTGCTGCCATCTTCATGTACTAATACGCAATCTGATTCGGTTACATAATATGACAGTATCTTGATAGTGTAGATATATATTTGTTTCTTTTCATCAGCAAATTATATTTTTTACTCGTTTTGATACACTGATGCGTAGTAAATCGGAACAAGTCCGCAAGTCGATTTCAAAGATCAGCGGTCTATGAAGATCGCCCATTATTCCTATAAATTATCATATTTTATTACGCGATCGCGGATTGGTCGGGGGATGCCCAGTATTATCGAATTAGGCAGAGGTTTAACAGCATGACCTAGAAAATCCAACACAACAAACATGGCATGTTCGTGTACTTCGCATGGACTTTAAGCTTCGGAATTTGACTATTTTTAGTCTAGATATTTGATTAAATTTACCATTCATTAATGTAGAAGGTTAGTAGAGAATAACAAAATAATCAGTTTGGTAAATTTTTTATTTCCTGTGCGGCGATTATCTAGTCGCCCCGCCGGACCAGCTGACACGAGCAAGCAGTCGCCCGGTCGATTTTCTAATCGCCACTGGCGACTGGGTGACCGCTAGTTTCTCAGCTGCTCTAATTTGTGCACCTGTAGGTTTAAAGTTATTGCGTAAAAATACTTAGTAAAGCTAACACATTTTTACCTTGCGATTTTATTCTACCATGAAACTGAGAGCCCTTCTATAAATTTGTGCAGGAAATGTGGCATAGGTGGAATGTAGAGGTGCCATGGTTTATTAGGTAGGCTGTGTGCAGTGTGTAACACACTACCCACAACTAAACAAATGAACTTATTCAGGGATAGAAATGCAGACTTGGGTGACCTGCATCCCTAGGATGATGTGGCTGCGCGCAAAGGCAGTACAGAAGACTAGTCTGTAGAGGACTCAGGTTTGAGCTGATATTAGGGATTGCTTTTGCAGTTACGAATTGTTTACTGCAGATAGGAGAGATAGTATGGCATAATAAATATTTTATTATGCGCTTTTATTTGTACAGACTTCTTTAAACTGTCAGTGCTGCTACCAAGCACAACAAAGTTAATCAGAATAGTAAAAGTGTAATAGTAAAACCCTGGATCTATGGCGGTGAGGTGTTATGATGCAGTGTTGAAATGTGACCAAAGCATAGCAACTGATATTGCCATTCCTGGCGAGATAATGTAAGAAGCCGTTATAACTGATAACACTTGTATTTGGAGATATGTTCCTGTTGATAGTAGAGATATGTTCAATGCTAATAAATTACAAGATTTGTATGTATGCATGTCAAGAAACAGGCGAGTATGGTGGTTAGATACTTCAGTGTTAGATAACCCACATAGCATCGTTAAACACAAGATCATACATGTGTGCAATATAAAACCATTTACAGTTAAATTATAAATTAAAAAGTACAGTGTATTAATTATTGAATCTCCTGAATTAAAATTTGAGGAGAATATAGTTCTAAGCACATGTTGTTATTTTCTTTGCCTATATAGGTGAATTGGAAGGGACAGATTAATTCGATTGTGCAATTCCTATTTTGAAGAATGTTCATATAGATCAGGCTGATATAGATGTATACATGTAAAATCCGGGTGAATGAACACAGTAAACTTCTGACAGTAACTATAATTATATCTGTCTGTAAGTCAAGAAACATTGCTACAGGTTTAAATTGAGGTTCCTCTGATTAAACTGTAGTTTGTTATTATTGCAGGGGATGGAAGTGCCAGGGCAGGTGAGCCTGCCAAGCCTTGCTTATCACAGCTAACAGTAAAGATTCTGATTGGTAAGGATTTGATATATATCAAGAGTAGATAATAACACACGTGTGTTATTATCTACTCTTGATATATATATCACTGTGCAATGTAGAAAATGAAATTGTTTTTATACACACTATGTTTGTTCCCTTGAGTAGGTGTAGGTTAGGATTAGTTTTTGGTCCACATCCATTAATTTTTATAGTGCTCTCTACAACCACCTTCCCTTTAGTGAGGAAGCACGGTTTTACCGAGTTATTTCTAGATCATGTGTAAAGAAGCTGCTTGATTCTAGAAGGCTGCATTCTCGACTATTTGATATTTCAAAAATTGATATTGCCATTAGTATAATTAATATGGTTCAGTCTGCTTGCAAACTTATGGTTGCCATCATAACAGTACATCACTGCTCTTTACTTTTTATCGTTATGTTTGGTCTGTCAATACAACCAAATTATCTCATTGCCCGCGTGTATCATCCTCAACGGCCCTGTTTCTTGCACACCACCCCTGCCTCACTTTGTCACCCTACCTCTAATTGTTTCCTTTTACATTTAGATTAGCAGACATTTTATTTATAATCTTAACAGTATGGGTATGATCACATTTGTATGAGTATGAATATTATAAGTTTATGGTATGAATAACAATAACATACGTGTGGTACTGATTTTTAAAACTACATAATTATTGACAGCACATTGATTAAATTTATAATCTGTACATATGATTCTCAGCTTTTACACATTTAGGAACTCCTCATTCACATCAGAATAACTTCTCTATCCCACACGTGCGGCACACTATGCATCATGTCGGTCCACAGAGTAGCTCGTGTTTTTACTGGAAATAGTTCTCTAACAGAATTTCGAACTTTGAAATGTAGTTGCCGCTGACAGACTGTCTTGTTCGTTTACTTCGTGGCGATGTTGTCTCCGGCATAATCTTATCTTCATAGGCGTGAGTGCACGACGTTGTTTCCTCTTCCTTGCTGGAAAAACTGTTATAAATGGCCCACCCATGTCTCGTGGATATAAAAATAGCTGCCGCTCTGCGATGCACTCCCTCGTATCGCATTCAGGGCTACTGCAGGCATTCACCACGTTCTCAAAATGAGATAAATAAATAACAGTGGCGATTTTACTACACTAAGAGGCAAATACATTGGCGAATGATTTAACTGCCCAGAAAATTACGATTAACTAATGAAAATCGTCAATTTGCAGTGTCGTGTCATAAATTGTTTTCGTACACCTCTTTTCTCATAGTACATACTCATCACCTGTTTATGCCTTGCATAATACTTTAATAGTGCTTGCATAATATATGCCTTGCATACAGTAATGTGAACAGTAGAGCTCTATAGTTTTTCATTGGTGGCTATAAAATAACTTTGGTGGCTCAATTCTTGGCTCAAACTTTAAAACATCCAGAGGGAGCTCTGGCATCGATAGGTGTGATTATATCACCGTAAACAGTAAAAGTAAAAAAAATTATGTCCACTTTTTCACAAAATGTAAGTGATTCTGTTTACTTTTCATAGTTATACTTCCTATTTTGCTATTCCGTTTGATGTGAACAATCACTCGTGACTCATACATAGCCCATAGCAAGCATTTAATGTCGTGATCAATATATCAAATTGCCAAGATTTTTTGTTTTTTTAACTAGTTGAAAAACAATCTTATCAGGTAAGAATTTGAGGATACATTTAGCAGTAGGCCTACTTACTTTTCATGTAAAATAATTGCAACAAAAATTTTATAAAATACATCATAGAAAATTCGTGACATAGTCAGTTTAATGATTATACATGCTTGCTATGCTCGTTTAAATGTTTGGTCGTAGGAGATGGTTAGCAACTCAAAGCCTGGCACTTTGTAATAACATATAGGCAGCCGGCAGTTTACTTCTGAAAAGAGTGTGTTTTTATAACTCTGCATTAAAAGTTAATCTCGTCGCGTGAATGGTGGTGTAATTATCGCATGTGTTAACAGTGTGCACAAGCTTGAGTTGGAATGTGGCAAATAGTGTTATTATGATACTAAAAGCAGAATGTTTTATAGTGAAGTAGTGTTCGCCAATACCGTAGGACAGCCGGACAATGCAGTTGAATTATAGGCAGGTCTGATGAAAGTTTTACTAGAGTGTGCGGCACTATAGTATTATACTTACTAGATATAGATTAGGCTAAATACAGTTGCACATTAAAAAAAGTTGCGTGTTATCGAATATATTTTGTAGTGAATATGGCCATGTCTGTTGTAATTTCTGTCAAACAGCGGTAAATTCCATGACATGGAAGCCTACAGTTACATATTGATTTTTTTCACTATGCATTGGGAAAAAGCATGACTCAATTTGCACCAATGAAATTTGTTTTGGCTCGTCCCATGCATAGTTACTCTGATAAATATGACTTCCAGCATGACTGATTCAGAGGGAGTCAACAGAATAAAGTTGAAGTGAACCACGTTAAAAAAAAAAAAGTGATATCGGCAAAGTAGTCCCTGATTTTACATTGGGATATGTCATTATTGTAGAGGGCATGGCAAAAATCAACTAGAGTGCACCGAATAACCACTAAAATATGGCAACATTAATTGTATCCTTTGCGACAAAGTCGGCGGGGATACTATGGTTTCATGTCTGTCCAGCCGCCGCCGCCGCTCGGCGCTGCCGCAGACACTTTCCCTTCCGCTCTATAACTCGACCCCTAATTGACCTAGCGTGACCAAACATGGTCTACTTACACATCTTGGGGAGAAGGTGCACAGCGTACCAAAACCAGGTCACTACGACCTTTATTTAACCTTTACCTTGACCTTGATCATATTTCCCTTCCGCTCTATAACTCGGCCTCTAATTGACCTAGCGCTACCTAATTTGGTATACTTACACATCTTGGGGAGAAGGTGTGTCGCGTACCAAAACCAGGTTACTGCGACCTTTATTTGACCTTGACCTTGATCATATTTCCCTTCCGCTCTATAACTCGGCCCCTAATTGACCTAGTGCGACCAAACTTGGTATACTTACACATCTTGGGGAGAATGTGTGTCGCGTACCAAAACCCCTAAGGCAGCCAATTTTAACATACTTGCACATCTCAGGCAGATGAGTTGTGTAACAAACATTTGTCTTTGTGACTTATTTAACTTTACCTACCTTCTACGTCCTTACAGAGATATTTTTTCATTCATACTAGATCACGGGGGATACATGTAGTTGGCGCCAACTGCCCTTTCTAGTTTATAATATACTCAATTGAGTCATACATATATATATATATATTATAAGGTACCTGTTTCACATGCTCAAAATATTTTCGGCCTGGCGAAGATTTTTACAGGACCAAATGTCTGTCAAAGTATAATCTATTGGCGACCCATGGTGAAGAATTCCCGCGATGCACTGCGTGTTTCGAAATGCAATCTTGGCTTATTACGGTGCGAAAGAAGCAGAGGCTTAGATAGAGGCGCCGCTTGTGTTGTGCGCTCTATGAGTTTATTACTTGGTTGTCATTATTACAGCTGCGATTTCTGATCTATCTTTCGCTCTCTCTCTTTCTTCCTGCGACATGCACACAGGCGTGCTGATTGTGGTGAGCATCGCTGTGTCGTGGACAGGCACGGCTCAGTTTGCAGCGAGCAGCTTTGACGAGACGTTCGACGGTGCTTACTTCTTCATCTGGTTCTCGACAACATGGATGGTCGTCTGTTTCCCCGTCTACACCATCGCCGTCTTCATCTTCAGCCGGGATAAGCGCTGCTTGAAGAGTATATATAGGTAAGCAAACGTTCCCGTCTCACTGGTGTATGCAGGACGGCGATATTACAGTCGTGCCCCCACCAGCAAGTCTAGTAACTGCTACTCGAATTTTGGAAAGCAAGTGAGAAAGAAGGTGAAAGTGTAAAACATTTCGAAGCTCGATTTTACTTATTGTTTCCCAAATATAGCACTCCGTGTATAGAGACCAAGAGTTACATTACCGCCTGATGCATTAAAAATTTGCTGTTGCCCAGTAATGCACTGCCGACCCCATTAGAGGAGCTTCCAGCACTGCTCATCCACTCTCTGCTTGTATTTCCCCTCCCTGTCATCGTCGCTTTCCGTACCAGCGAGTGTTCCATCCCACTTGGTGCTAGTGGCAAAAGCTTAGCAATTGATTGTGTGAATTTAGAGTTGAGGTTGAATCGCAGGTCTTCTAAATTGTTGATTGTTCTGACAGTAATAATGAGAACTTGATTTTAAGTTAAATACAGCATAATTTCAGACATGTTATTCTATTTTGTCGTGTATTTCTGCAGTGTAAATAGGACGGTATAAGTAATTATCTGCTTAATGTACTGTCAATAGTAAAATGGCTACATGTGTGAGTCAGTGTGACCATAAATTGTGCCAATACCTCAATATAGCATTTATAGTGCTTCATTTGATAATGATAGTGGCATGAAAATGTGAAAGTTCTGCTTATTTCATTACTTCACATTTTTTAAATAATAATAATTCGGGGGAAGCGTTAGCACGTTGATTTTAAATGCCACAAAATGACACTGCATGATTGAAACTTTTGCCTATCAACTACCAGGAGAGTAATAGCCTTTATGAATTAAAATTTATTTTATGTTAAATAAATACAATAATTGAAATTTGAACAACGAACAATAATTGCAAGTGTGGGCATGAAAAAGAATGTGTGTGTATGCCTCCGTTCGTGCGTGCGTGCTTGCGTGCATGTGCGTGTGTGCCGCTGCGTGTGTGCCGCTGCATATGTGCGCATGTGCGCGTATGTGTAGGTGCGCGTCAGTGCTGTATTAGACTTACTGCTAAATTCTACTCTACTTCTAAAAGAATGATGCTCGTGAGTATCAAAGGTAGAGAAAACCAATCATACATGAAAAAATCATCATGAAAATTCAGTGCCTGAACAGTGAAATTCACAAGGTATTTCATGCGAACATTTTGACCTCTAATAGACGTTGTCCTTATTGAGTGTATTATTTGCCAATTCTGATCTTCACTTTCATTAGCTCATTGGAAATTTGTGTATTCTTTCTATGCTTTCATAGTTCGTTCATAGATAAAATAGTTGCGACGTGGATTTCGTGTTTTCCTTAAAGATTAGATGTCAATGGAGGGTTGCACTGCTGTAGCCTTGAGACTGGCTGTATATATAAGAAATAGGATACCTTTGTGCAATTCAGGCACCAATCATAATGGTTAGGTCTACGATCCTTGCATCAGGGCAGCTGATTAAAACTAACCAGAGCCACTGATAGATGGTGATTGCTATAATTGCAAGGTTAAATGTGACCGCAGGTTAATGATCAGCAGCCAGGCGTTGTTCTACTAAACCTACCGTACCTACCTAGTTGTGCTTATTAGTCAACGTACTGATGAAAATGTACAGTTGATGTCTTGACATATTCTAAATGATTGAAGGATGTGCAACTGTTGGAAATCAACTCAAATATAAAACCACTACTGCTGCAACCACTGCCACCCGCCGCCGCCACCACGGCCACCACCATCACCACCACCACCACCAACAACAACAACCATAACTTGACCAATCATGCAGGCATTATTTGACTGGTCTATTGAAGGGGTCATTATCAGAGCACCGTTTTGATTTAGTGCATAAATTGTGTAACTGTGCATAATTGTATCTTATGTGCACATAATAGCAGGGTGTTTGTATTAGCAGAAAGGCCGGTGTAGAAAGTAGTTTTAGCTGTGGTTACCCTAACGGGTGGCCAATAATTGGGGAAATTACGGCAAAATAACGTCACCGTATGCTAGTGAGATTCCCAGCCATATTTTGTGCGAAGAGTACTATTAACGAGATTAGGTGCCTGTATTTCTGTAACCCTAGGCACTGCATCATGGCTTGCAGAGTACGTCAATAGCGACTAGGTTTTCAAAAGTGGCAGTTGGCATGCGTGCACGTAATGTACCATCTCTGGTGCCAGCTCTGCCAACGCGTTAAGTGCAAGAATTTGCATTAGTGACTGACCTGGGTGCAAGTACTAATGTTTTTTAAAGTGTGTTTTACAGTGCTTGACCAGTCATGTTACAGAGTAGCAGTTGCCATGTATCACAGTGAGGCAAGCACCTTTGATATGTGTGTATGCTCGAGATAAATTCGTAGCGAAAAAATGGCAAAGTGGTGCCAGAAGTAAGATGGTCGAATTTCATTTTTTTACGATATATTAATTATATGGTTCAGTGAATTCAGTGATGCACAACATGTTTACCATTGACCTATCTTGTTTAATACTTTATTGGAAGAAGCATAAAATTGCTTTTTACTAATATTCCAAGAGTGGCAGCCTATAGTTACCCTCTGATAGATCCTCAGGAGGTGGGCAACTCTTTAAACTTTTTTCATTTTCAATAAATGATGAGCCAAACTCTTAGAGAAAGGCATGATATTTATAGTTTCACGACTAGTAAACTAGCCGTAGGCGACATATTTTGTACTAGAAGCTGTCTAGAACTATAGAACAGAAAGCAATAGAAATATGAAAATATTAGGAGGACATGTCATCATGTTCTCCTGAGAATATTAGCACTCCTCTAAAATTGGTCTCTATAATCAGAAGTAGATAATAGGATAATAGGGGGGTTCCCTATTATCTACTTCTGATATACCGTATATGATCGCGTAATAACCGCGGGCGCCTATAAGCCGCACCTCAATTTGAATCGGGTAACCAAGTATTGCGCCTAGTATATTTCCCCTCACGGTATGGCGCACTTATAAACCGCAGAGCAAATACAGGGTAGAAATCTGAGGCCAAATTTCTGGTTATTACGCGATCATCTACGGTATCGTCCATGCTTTTGCTCTTCAGCCGAGGACCGTCTTCCAATACCTTCAAAGGAAATTGTCTATATCAGAAATATATCACTTGATACTAATTATAGTGTTCTATATTTGCCTGTTACCATACAGTAAAATGCCCTGCACTACGATAACTATGTTTATGTAAATTTGCCCATACGTAATTAGGAAATTATGACAAGTAAACTCGTAGATAGGGCAATTCAACCATCAACAATTTGTAAATTATTGCTATTATACTAGAGGTACGAAATGGAAATTTGTTCTTACAAAATTCTTTAAAGAGAATGAACAGGATTATTTTACCCTAAAAGTGTCATGCTCACTCCCCATCAATACAATTAACCTAATAAATATAAACAGCCAGGTGTCAACAAAACGGCCAGGTAATTTATTTTACCCACTGCTTTTGCACTGTTTGACCAACACCAGCAATGTTTATGAAATATGCATGTTCGTGCAATCAATCCTTCTGCATCCAATATACCTCGGGTACTTGTTTCTTATTTCAAGAGCTGTTACAGCGATCTCAGTCATTACAAAGAACTGTACTAAGAGAAGATCCCCTGGAAGCGGTAACCAAATTTAGATCTTTTTGGCCTCCAGGTCAGAGCCTGAATTACCCGAACCAAACAATGGGCTAACGCTCCATTAGGAGTGTTCCCAACTTTGATATCATTAATACGATTTTTTGGCAAAAAGTATATAAAAATCCTGCAAATCTCAATATATCATCAACTGACATCCAGAGAGACAACATGGCATATGAGAGAAACAGATTGCAGTTATATCAACAATTTCTACAATTGCTCCTTCAACTAACCCAGAGGGAAGAGTCTTCTACATCAACAGGGTTTAGCTGCGGTGGTGGTTCAGGGTTAGGCGAGCGTGCCCTCTTGTTGTTGTTGACTGCCTTCTTCTTTGGAAGCCATGGCTTGTAGATAATTGTAGAGTAGATATGGCAAGAGAATGTGAAACTTCTCTGACTTGCTTGATAACAACTGAAATGACGCGTTCCGATTTGGGCAGCCTTGTCCCAAATCGTAAGCAATAGCGTAAGAATAGCGTAAAGTATACGTATCTATTCGTAAAGTGCTCGTAATAACTCGAACGATCCGTAAAGCAATCGTAATTGTTAGCGAGTCCAATTAGCGATGATCATTGCGAGCAGTTTTACGGATTGGTTTACGTGTTGTTGCGAGGCGTCTTTACGATACTTACGGATTGTTCGAGTTATTTACGGAAAAAAATCAATTAGTGAGCACTCGTGAGAAGATTTTTGACATGTAAAAAAATTTGCGTCTCTTTCACGGATCCTTAGGAGTGTCTGCGAGTTGTTTTGACGAGTTAATATGGCGGGGAATACGGCAGCGAGTTATTTACGGATGCTGTGCGATTGAGAATACGAGTTGGCGGATCCGTAAGGACTCCCATAAAGAAAAATCCGTGTATGTGAACGGTGGGTATTAATGAGCATTAAAAGTTGGGAAACACGCTAATGGAGTATCACCCAAACAAGGCTCAGATAGCGAAGGCAGACACCTGGTAAATAGCATTCTAAATAAATGGTGCCTTCAATTGCTTTCTCCTCGACTGGTAGTTTTATTTCTAAATCCCATTGCCAAATCTTACTAAATATTGTTATTGATGTTCATTCCATCTTACTAATATTGTTATTATGTTCATCTCCAATCTTACTAATATTGTTTATTAATGTTCATTGCCAGTCTACTGAATAATTGTTACTTATGTTCGCATTCCATCTAACTTAATATTTGTTATTATGTTCATATGCCATCTTACTAATATTGTTATTATGTTTGGCATTCCATCTTACTAATATTGTTATTATGTTCATTCCATCTTACTAATATTGTTATTATGTTCATTCCATCTTACTAATATTGTTATTATGTTCATTTATTTTAAATAATCAACATCAGCGTTAAAAATGTTTGCTTGCATTAATTTAATAAACTGTCCTTCTAGTGTTTGTGTTAGCTGAAAGGCTCTGTAGGAATTAATGCATCACTAAATATTAGGGGTTGGACGATATGGGTAGGCTAGCTCACGATATCATCTATATCATAGTTAATACACCTTTCACAATATGATATGTATCGTGATACTATCAAGAGAATCTACTGAGCAAACTATACACTTAACCAGCGTTCTACCAATCATGCTAATGCTTATTAATAAGTATCATGGAGCGCTTAGTAAACAACTGCTGTTGAACTCCAAATTGTGTCATGCGTCTTTTGTTTTCTGATTAGACTGTGGTACCAAATGATATGGATTTTATTTGTATTCTATCGATACATGTATTGTGAAGTCAAATGTGTTGATACGTGTATTATTGAAGGTTGTATTGTGATCCATCGACATATCGCTGAATCGTACCATCCCTACTAATTATATAATGGAAGTCAATGGGAAAACGTTATTCGCCTTAGAGATTTTCATCTTACAAGCGTTTGTTCAGGAATGCACAACTTGAGTAATGCAGGGAATTACTGTAATGTAGTACTGCATGTATTGGGAGTTTGAATGCTGAAAAAACTGGAACTGGTTTATGGCATTACTGTCGTCTTTTAAATCACCGTGAATACTTGTTTAACTTCAACAGTATGAAAGAGCAGCTGTGCAAATGAAGCCATTTCTGTAGCCTTTGTTGAATAGATAGTGTATGTACAGTAGAGCCATGCGGGGTATTATGTTATGTTGGCATATGAAATTACCTGCACAGTTTATTGTTATATAACGGTAGCAGCTGCGGCGTGCTTAGGTGTGTCACTATATCTGCAAAGCAGTACTTGTGAAATAGAAGACAAAATATTTCTCTTAGAGATAATTCTCTTTGAGAGGAAAACATTCCGTGTTATAGGATATATACCATGTTTTCCACTGCTTGTGTTTCTATTCAGTAGTTGTGCATTTGACACTCGAATCACTGCATCTAAAGCGGGGGACACCATGCGAATTTATTCGCACGTCCGCAGCGATTGTTAAAATCGCAGCGAAATTCGTATGGTGTGTCCGCTCAAGCGCGGGCGAATTTCGCTGCGAATTTCATCCGCACCGAAATTCGCAGCAACCAAACATGTTTGATATTTTCGCTGCGGGTTTTTACCGCTGCGTACAAATTCGCATTGTGTGTGCGTGGAAGCGAAAATAAAGCCGGCCGATGTTATAATGCAACGAATCATTGATCAGTATGCTAAGCACGCGACTGTTGGAGCCATGGTTGGAGCCGTGTGGCGACAGTAGATCGCGTGTAGTGCGTCCGCTGCGGTCGTGCGAATAAATTAGCACGGTGTGTCCGCTCAATTATCGCATGCGTGTGCGAATATTTTCGCTGCAAATTTCGCTGTGGATATGATCGCAGCGAAATTCCCATGGTGAACTTACTTAAACTGAAGACGAACTTACTGGTTCCCCACTTAACTGTTGTGTTTCACCGAACTTTCAGGGACTGCATATCAGTGTATGGCGAAGATCGTTTGACGCCTCTCACTTTCTTCACAAAGTGTGGCTTGTTTTGTATACTCTGGATAGGTAAGTGTGGTTGATGATGCCCAGTAAAGTGGAGGAGTTCAATTTTAATTAATTTGATTGCATTCAGCATAAATCACTTTAGGAAAATTTGAGGATGGCATTTGTTATTCCCACAGTAATCTCTGTAACATTGTCACCGATGTATGCAATAAATCAAATGTGCTTGGGCAAAACCTCATGGAATATTACTAGAAACAAATTTAGGCAAATATTATTACAATAATGTGATTCGTTATTTTAGCAGTTTTTGTTATTTAATTGTAATCTGTTTAATGCATTCAGAAAATTAAAAGAGAGAATAGTATAGATAGATAGATAATAGGTTTATTGCAAAATTAGTATTTACAACGTTACAATTAAAATAAATTTTGCAAACACGTAGCATTTACTGGTATAGAAGAATAGTAGACACCGATACCATCGATTATATTGGTTCTAATGTCACAACATTTCATTATTACAGCATCAAATTACATGTTTTTGATGGCGCTCAGGATCATTCCCATCACGGACACGGTGGCCGTGTTTGCGTCAAACGCGGCCTTTGTCTACATATTGTCATGGATCATTCTTCACGAGAAGTTTATATCTATACGGGTAAGCTGAAGTGCACACATGTGTCATGTGTTCATATGAACAGAGTGCTGTAAAGGGACGGTATCTGGCAGTTACAGGTGCGCTCCGCTTGGGTCAGAATCCTCTTCCACTGATGATTGGCAGGGGCTTCTCAGGACTGCCAATCAGCAGCTTACAGCATATGTTGCAATATTTAGTCCTGCTTTGCCACTGCAAACACCGGCCACCGATGATCATTATTTTTTGCAGGTCTGGTAACTCATGGCGAACCTGGGTTTGGCTGGCTAACCTATATTTACCCACAGCTCCTGTATCTAATCTTCTAGTCTTCTCCTTCCTACGTAGTCACTGTGATCATAATGAAAACAATAATGTGACAGACAGATGCACACAGATGTAGTCGACTTGTGCACAAGCCATGACCTGAAGATTTGCCTCATGCCTGCAGCATTTCATATAGGTTTTCGTATCTTTTGTTTCCTCGCTTTTTTCACTGATTAGTGTTCCCCTGTCTGTTATCTTGTGCTCTAGGTAAAATCTCTTTCATCCAGCGTCTATCGCTTATGTATTCAAGGGCACCCTTTCCTGATACTAGGCATAGTTACTAGATATATATACAAGAGATAAGACCTATTAGCACTTGTTACCTTTTTCTGTTTTCTGTGTTATGTAAATTAATTTAATATGTTCTTGTTTGCCAATGGGTCCCTCCATCCACCCACCAATCAATCAATTAATTAATCAATCCAGCTCATTCATTCTTTAATCCATCCATCCATTTCATTTAAAGGCAATATAAATATGGTCTTATTGACATTATCCAATGTTGACCCGAATGGCTAGAGTAGACTGGTACACTTGTTCGTAGTTAAATAAGTACATTAACCTTTATAGGCTAAACGGTCGTATTTAGTCATTGTCAAGTAAGTCACTTGCTGGCTTGACCATTATCAAACAAAACTTTTGAAGAATCGGTTGCTTGAGTATGTTATCAACGATTATCATTTACGATCCTGACCGTACAAAACATGTCATCCTCGACGGCCGAGGCGCGCTGAATTGAGCGCTAAACATTTGTCGCGCGCCCGTATGTTTGGTGGACGCCTGCATTTTGAAACCTTGCATGGTGTCCAGCGGGGCAGGTTTCTAACCACATGCCATGTGAGAACTAAACCATCTGGAAAATACGCACGTACAAACACACACGTTTTAATTCACGGAACGCACGTGGACACCCTGTACAAAACGCATGTTCCTTATCACGACGTCCGTTCCATGTTTTCAAACGAAATCACTAATGACTTAGCGCGCATCATTTGCCCGTACCGGCCGTTAAGCATCGCCGCGTGCGAAAATATGTCCGGCTGCACTTATCAAAATCTGCTATACACACGACCGCGGCTTCGCGTGACACGGCGGTGTTTGCAAACTCGGTCAAAGCAACCTGAATTTCTTGGTACTGCCCACAAGCTGCCCCTCAGAGAGCGCCTGCATTTCAATTACAGCACATTTCTATATCGACGGCGTACACACCAGCAGTGAAGTATTTGGGTACAAACCTGAACTACGGCAATACGCATTTGGCTAAAAGGTAATGTACTTATTAACTACACAAGGTGCCAGTTACTCTAGCATTCGTCAACATTGCACCTTGACAATGTTTCTATTTATGTAGCTCTGCTACATGCTTATCATATGATTACATATATGTTTGCATATAACTCCTGCATAGATTATTTGTAGACTGTAGGTCTGTAGGACTGTGTCTTCTATAGGTCATACAGATTATATCTGTAGGCACAATTAACAGAGCAACTTGATCCCTCTATGATAGGTGAGGCATTAACAGCATACATGTACGTTTGCACATAAATCAATATAATCTGCTCTATATATATATATCTTCGTGTTAAACCATACACAGCCATCAAGGTAGAAAATCAGTTCGCATGTGTACTGAATGCTACCTGCTGATTTCAATGTGAAAATAGAATGCAAGAGTCTGGTGCTTTTAAATTAAATCGGTATACAAGGAATTGCAATTATATGTTGAAAAACGGATTCTTGACATGCTGGTAAGATTAAAGAAACAAGCATGAATAATTCGTTATTGTAAATGTAATTCAATTTAATAAAATCAATAATTGGATTTGCATAAAAACTAAAGCTTTCTTCACACCCCTATCCCCACCTCACCAATGATTTGTTCCTGACCCCCTCCCTCTTTCCCCTCACTGAATGTTGGCATCTCTGAATCCCATCGATTAGTGGCTTAGAATTTGTTGTATTATTTGTACTAAAATGTTGTTTTCATGCTTTCTAAGGACGATTTTCTAGGAAGTCTTTTTATGCCATAAATGTTCCAAATACCTAAAATATGCAAGCCACGATTCGCCTGGGTTATAGACAGTCGAGTGATTCTTTTGAAATGTGACTTGAGGTGACAATGTGCAGGTTTACGTGTGCTAATTGGTTACCACTGGATTGGTTTATTGCTTTATCACTTTTCTTGGCTACTCTTTGTAACCGCCGGGTTTTCTTGCAATTTACGTCAGCCGCGTAGATTCAGCTGAACCGGATGTGTTTATTAATACACACGTTAGGTATTTTTTTACGTGCTGGGGTGCTGGCGGTAGCTAGCCGCGTGATGCTTGTCGCAGGCGATCGAGTGCTGCCATGTGTGTGTGTGCTTCGTTGCAGATACTCGCCGTGATTCTCATGATAACGGGTATAGTGATGATGATGTACGCGGAGGGCTTCGGAGGATCAACGCCGCGCGGCGTCGCGCTTGCCATCGGAGCTGCTCTCGGCTCGGCTGTCTATCAGGTACGCCCCTGCTCATCTCTGTCTGCCCCTGCCTGTCTCTGTCCGCCCCTGCCCATCTCTGTCTGCCTCTGTCTGCCCCTGCCCATCTCTAGTCTGCCTCTGTCTGCCTCTGCCCATCTCTGTCTGCCTCTGCCCATCTCTAGTCTGCCTCTGTCTGCCCCTGCCCATCTCTGTCTGCCTCTGTCCGCCTCTGCCCATCTCTAGCCTGCCTCTGTCCGCCTCTGCCCATCTCTGTCTGCCTCTGTCTGCCTCTGCCCATCTCTAGCCTGCCTCTGTCCGCCTCTGCCCATCTATCTTCTGTGCATGCTTCTGCCAGTCTCTTCTGCCTCTGCCATCTCTGTCTGCCCTGCCATCTCTGACCTCATTCTCTGTCCATCTCTGCCTGCCTCTGTCCACTTCTAGTGTCTGCCCTGTCCATCCTCTAGATACTGCCTTGTACCCTCTGCCATCTCTGTCCCATCTCTAAGCCTGCTCTGTCCATCTCTACGTCTGCCTACTTAGCCATCTCTGCCCATCTCTGTCCACCTCTGCCATCTCTAGCCGTGCCTTCTGGTCGTCGCATCTTTGTCTGCCTCCTGACCATCGTCTGGCCTCATCTCCTGTCACCTTGCCCATCTACGTCATCTATAGCGTTGCTTTGGTCCATCTTTCAGTCTGCTCTGGTCTGCTGCGCAATCTCTGTCGTTGCCCTGTCTGCTACTCT